ATGATTCATTCTGTCTTTCCCTGGAACACTCCTCACAGTATTATCCTTACTCTTTCATCACTGTTGATCAAGTCTGACATGTAGAATTTAACGTAAAGACAACTTCCAGCTTGCAAGAAAAGAAAAAAGGTCTGTTACACAGATCAAAGCATTGAAAAAGTATCATCTGGTCTTAAAATAGAATTATTTTAAACTCTCGGGGAAATTAGGACATTCAAAAGCAGCTGTGTGTATAGGAAAATTTAAAAAGCCCCAAGCATGCCTAAGAAGATTCAAGCTCAGAAGATTCCTGAGAAAACCTTAAGCTTCCACATATGGCTGATCCCTAGAGTCACAGCAAGACTAGCTAAAATGGCCCAGCAAAGAGCCTATCTGCACACTAGGAGAGGAGGCTGTTCATTCTCTCTCCCTCCCTCTCTTTCTATTTGTTAGGGACAGGGATGTTTGTTTCTTTGTTTCAGCGCCTTGTTTCATTCAAGGATATCTTTATGGAGCATTAGCTGAACATGAGTTACTAAAACAGAGACTTCAGTAATCACACATGACATAGAACAGTCTTTGTAAAACAATAGTATAGGGAAGTCTCAAAACCAAAAGGACTACTATAGCCTTCAACAATAAAAAAAGATAGCAAATCCCAGAAAAGAGACCATATCTGACTTCCAGAATTACCATATTATGATAGGGAAATGCTCAATTTTCAACAAGAAAAATCACATGGAATACAAGGAATGGAAAACATAGGTTATTCAAAGGAACAGGGTAAGCCAAGAGAAATTATCCTTGAGAAACCATAGACATCAGACTTATTAGATAAAGACTTTGTTTTGTTTTAAAACAGTATTTTTCAACCTTTTATTAATCTCACAGCACACTCACATACAGTTAAACTTCTGTGGCACACTTAAATTAGGTCAACCCTCTCCCCCCCACTCCCCACCCCCAAAAGAGTAAAAAAACAGTGTGCTTTGAACTTCTTTTGAAAATAATTTAATTAGTGATCTTTAAACTTTTCATGGCACACCTAAGATCTTCTGGTGGCACACCAGTTAAAAATCACTGCTTTAAAGTATTGTTTTTTTCTTTTATTGAATACACATTTGTTTTACAGGCTGTCCAGATGAACAAGTAGGTAAAGGAAATATTACATTTTATTTTTTGGTAGAAATCAAGGTAAACTGCAGATTAAAATGCTTCAATTTAACCTAAAGAAATGGTTTTGAAGCATACAAATTTTTAAGAAGAAAAATAAAGACTGTCTGAAGGGATTCTTCTAGCTCATCACACATTTCCAGAATAACTCTAAAAAAATTCAAAAATACTTATTGATTATCTTTAAAATATGTCAATACCATATGTCTTTATGAAATAACTTATAAAATTTATTTCATTTAAAAAGGATCCTAAGTTTTAAATAAACTGCTAGCCATATAATTTTCTTCACCTTAAAGTCCATGTCTCTGATTAGGTAGGACACACATAGTTTTTGAAGAAATAATGATTTTTACAAATTAACACACACAAAAATCACTTAAAATACTTTAAAAGAGAAAAGAGTTTTCACTAAAAGTCAGCTTGAAATAGAATATAGTAGATGTTTCTTGTCATCAGAATTCTCAATGAGATGCTTTGGAAAGTTTTAAAACATATCACAGTCTTTACCAAGAAACACTGCCATTAGTAATGTCCATGAAGATAGCAATTGCCTTGATGGCTCACTGTAAATAGATACAACATTACTGGGCTGGTTCTCCACATCAGAGGCAAAGGTGCTCTCTTCTCTTACGTTATGAGTTTGTATAACTGAAGCTTCTGGGAGTAAAAGATTATCTATAGTTTTGTTGGTTTTATTGAAGTTGTCAGTAAGTGTGGTAATGTCACACTCCTAGTCTAGGACACCAATCCATCTTCTATTGTAAGTACATCTTTAGTTTCAAATGGTTCCAAGAAAGGAGCCAAAAACTCATTTGCATAAAGTCTTGAGACCCATTATTGTCACATCTGTGTCTTCTTCAGAGTCCTTATCACTGTCACTGCCAATGGCAATTAAAGAGAGGACAGTGAAGGGTTATCTCCAGTGTTTCTCATGCTGCTTCTTGTGTTGCTTCTTTTTGTTTCTGTGATGTTTGGCTGTACTGGCATCTATTCCCTTATAAACCATCTCTGCACTCAGGCTCCAGGTCCTTCTTTTTCTCCTCTTGCATTTTGTCTTTCTGATCATCGGCTGTCTAAAAAGCTGTCACTCTTGTTTTCATAGTTTCGCTCCAATTTTGATGAAGAGTTTTGGTAATGACTGTCCTTTACTATAGAAGCTAATTACCTCCAAATGCTGTGTTTTTATTTTCCTTTCCCCAGGGCTTCCACTTCTCATCTTCCCTGTTGATGCAGTCCTTGATCTCTTACTAGACAGGATCCTTGATCTGTGCCTTTCATAGCAATAATATTTTCTTTCACAGTGCTTTTTTTTTTTCCTAGCATTTGTTCTTTGAGAAAAGGATTGAATTTAAATTCTGGGCTTGAAGATTATCTGGAATAAGGAGCTCTAGATAGAGCCCTCTTCCTATAAGATGAATGTAACTATCCCTGTCCTTATTTCTATTATACTAAGTATACTCTCACTTATATCTGCTTCCATAAATATTTCTTAAATAATCACAATCTCTATTTCTGCTCTGCAATTCTTTGCCATGGTCACTGCTATAAGACCTTGATCTTCTTGTGCTTTCACTACTTAAGAGTGTGCCTTCTTTTTGATCAAATGCTGTCTCTACTTATTGATCTTTTTGTTTCCTCTCCCTCTGGGTCTGCTACTCGCCCTGCTTCTGGATCCTTTGTCTTCCATTATTTTCTCCCCATGACGCTTCCTATAATTTTCCTGCCCACTTCTACTCTGGAAATGTGAATGTGAAATTCTCGATCTTCCCCTCTTCCTATGTTTATGGCTACATGCAGACTATCCCCTGTCTCCTTTTGCTGATGAGCTGGGGTCCCTGGGAGATGACAATGATGTAGATCAATTGTTTCTCTTCTTTCTTTGACTATTATACTGGAATCATAACGACCTTTATTTATTTGATCATCCTCTCCAAGAGCAGAGCATGGCGATTAACATCTACTAACATCTCTATCACCGAAATTGTTAAGAATGGTCTTGTGTCTTTGCTATCTCCATTTTCTCATAAGTACTTAACTCCCCAGAATCAGAGGACAGTTCAACAGGTCCTGGGATCCTCTAAACTAGTGGTTTAACAAACCTAACAATGTCACAATTTTCTGAAGAAGAATCACTGTCATTATTTAAGCCCTTACTGGTTTGCACTCCTTGTACCTGAACCATGACTCTCTCTATGACAAGTTCATCATCTGAACTGTTAGAAATATTTTAAAAGGAAGGCGCAGCAACATGTACCTGCTCTGACTTTTGAGTAAAATGATCCTAGAGTCTCACCATCCCACAGTGCCTCACTAAAGATGGAACAATGGCTACATTACTATCTAAGTCTTGGGTTTCAGCCCCATCTGGAGATATTGATAATGAATGAAGAATCAGAATGGCTGCCTTCCTCATATGAGAGAGCAGGACAATCACAATTAGCATGCTGGTCAAAGGCTGCCATGTTAAAAGACGATACAGCAAACTGATACATTTATGTGTAAAATGTTCAGTTCACCTAAGTAAAAATGGCCTTACATCTGACACAAATGCCTGATTCTTGAAATCATAGTGAGTAACATTACTCATGATGATGTGCTGGACGATATTCACTACAGATCCCTGAGCTCCAAAAAGAACTGTAACTTCACATTTTTTAACCAGTGGAATAATATGTAAAGGATTCCTATGGAAAAATTCATTTGAAATGTCCCAATAGCAGTCACCATCTTCAGGATTTCTAACTTGAGCACTAGAATAATAGATAATTTGTCTAAAATTAATGATATCTTGTTCTTGAATTTTTGGCAAAGATTTTTCATCTGCAGTAGCTAGCCTCTTTGTTGCAACTCGTCTCACAAGCTAAAGATTTTCAACATCTTTAGGTCTCATTGAAATGCCTAATGTTCAAACAGTAGTCCACTATCTGGTGGAGTTGCTGCTCTTTCATTCATCATACTACTAGGTAAATAAATAGCAGCATTCAATTCCCCTGTCAATGTTTTACTGCAGTAAAATCATGGAATGTCAGGGATGGTAAAAGAACCATTACAAACAAAACTCAGGTAAGCACCACTCTAAGACACATTATCAAATCTATCCCAGGATAGTCAGGAGACTGTCTCTTGCAAGTTTGCTAGTGTCAGCTTTAAACAAAAAGTTGTCCAGCAGATACAGAAGCAGGCTCAGCTGGGGCCCCTGTGGCAAGTTCCCCACAACCCAAAAAGCTAGGCTGATGGCAGTAGGATCTATGAAGATGTACCTGGTAACTTCTCCACCTACCCTCAGAAGTGGGATCAAGTTGGGGTGCTTCACCCTCCTTGCAGGTCAGCAGAGATCCCAGTGGCTGCTGCCACCCACGAAGCCAGGGAGTTGCTCTGCTCTGGACTGAATTTATTCAGTGGTAGGTCCTGGGTCTGGTGGGAGTTCCATGGTGTCGACTGCCTATGCCTGTAGTCAGAAGGGCCCTATTTCTTCGGCACCCAGAAACTCTAATATCCACTCCTGAATTAAGCATTTCATCTTCTCCTCAGCAAAGACTTTAGAACAGGGTAATTCATAGAGACAAAAAGTAGAATAGAGGATTCCAGTGGTCAAGGGGGGAGAGGAATGGAAAGTTACTGTCTAAAGGGCACAGAGTTTTTGTTTGGGATGATGAAAAAGTTCTGAAAATGGATAGCACTGATGATTGCACAACACTGTGAATGTACTTAATGCTGATTAATTTTACACTTAAAAATACTTAAAATGCTAAATTTTATGTTATGTACGTTTTACCAGAATTTTTAAAACGTGCAAAAAAGAAATAAGAAACAAAGGCATCAGAGAAAAGTATCCAAGTACTAACCAGTTCTCGCTTCCATTTTTCAGCCTCCCCAGCAGATTTTTCTCTGCCAGTATCTGCACTGCCGTGGGAATGTGGTTTCTTGGCAGCTTCATCCACCTCACAATCTTCAGCTGTTGTAATCCAAGAATTCTGCATGTTTCCCTAAAACAAAATGTGCCAGTAATTGCAATTGATATTCAACTTTAAATAAACATGCATACTTTACAAATAGAATGCTGATTCTTAGCCATGACAGGAGGGAAATAATCCCAACACATGCTTTTAAACCATAAGTCAAGAATCACTTTTACATTTTCAGATTGTTAGGGTCATATTTTACAACTGGTACTCAAAATGAAATTCCTACAGGTACAGGCAATAATTTAAATATGAGACAGAGGAATGGATGTCAATGTATTCAACAAATGGAATTATCCATTACTCCTCTAAAGATACGCACTTTTAAAACACACAATCTTCTCTTAGTTTGTCTTTCATTTTATACATTTCATAGAGGCATGGCTAAGAGTAATAATAATTGTTAACAAATATAGTCCTTTCTATGTGTCAAACACTGTTTTGCATGTGCTTTACATATATTAACTTATTTAATCCTTAAATTCTATGAGATAGGTTCCATTGCTGTCTCCATTTTGTACGTGAGGAAACTGAGTCACATAGAGTAACTAGCCATGGACAACAGAGATAGGAAGTAGCTAACAAGTGGCAGAACTAGGACTTGAACACTGGCAACCTAAGTCCAGAGTCCATGTCTACAATGTAATAAAAAACATATATTTGGTCTTTGCCCCCAATTCCTGACACAGAGCTCCCACAACTCTTATAATTTCCTGAGTAGTAGGAGTCGTATGGGGCACCTTTTTTTGTTTGTTTTTTGAGATAGAGTCTCACTTTGTTGCACTTGGGATAGTGCCGTGATGTCATAGCTCACAGCAACCTCAAACTCTTGGGCTCAAGTACTGGTCTTGCCTCTGCCTCCGAAGTAGCTGGAACTACAGGCACCTGCCACACGCCTGGCTATTTTTAGAGTCAGGCGCCTCACTCTTACTCAGGCTGGTCTCAAACTCCTGAGCTCAAGCAGTCTACTTGCCTCTGCCTCCCAGAGTGCTGGGATTACAGGCGTGAGTCACTGCATCCCGGCATAGGGGCACCTTTTGTTATATTTGGTCTTAGTCCCAAATTCTTGACACAGGAGATTCTAAGACCTTTCAAGTCTCCAAAGTGATGACAGTATCTTTGTTACGCTAATGTAATGGCTGGTGGCTGCACCTCTAAACAGCTTCAGGATAGGAGGTGGTCACTAGAAAGACTAAACCAGGATTAGAGGACTAGAACTTTTAGCTCAATGCCCCAACATCCAGGAAGGAGAAAAGGACTAGAGATTGACAATCACTAACTGTTAATGACTTAATCAATCAGACCTATGTAATGAAGCCTCCATAAAAATCCTTTCTGGTGGGGGTCAGAATTTCTTGTTGGTGAATGCATCCACATGCCAGGAGGGTGGTACACCCCAATTCCAAATGTACTTCTTCGTTTATTTGGCTACTTATTTGTATCATGTATAAGATCCTTTATAATAAAGCAGTACTATCACTTAAAGTATTCCCTTGAATTTTGTGAGCTATTATGGCAAATTATCAAATATGAGAAAGGAGCTGTGGGGACTCCCAATTTGCAGCCAATGCAGACAGACCTGTGGGTAACCTGGAGACCCCCTACTTGTGACTGATATGTGAAGTGGGGGTAGTCTTGTGTGACTGAGCCCTTAACCTGTGGGTCTTATACTAACTCTGGGTAGCTAGTGTCAAAACTGAGTTGAATCACTGGACACCCAGTTGATATCCACAGAGAAATGGAGAATAGTCTAGTCTGAGGGAAGAAGTCCCCAGTATTTGACATCAGAAGTGTTATAGGTAGAGAAAAAAAAAAAGCAGGTTGTTTTTTCCTTTAGTGCTCTGCTCCATTATGCTCTTGTATCTTTCCAGAAAAATATTGATCTTCACTAATAAAAACAGTACACATGTTGTGATAAACAGAGCTGACATATAACCTGTGTGTCAGGATTCAAAAAGGAATGGTAGGGACCATGAGATACCATGGCAATGAGTCCCATCCAAAGGAATCAAATGACTAGATTCAGTCCAGTCAATCACTGCCATGTGGAAATAAAAATTCATATTACTAGAAAATATTTTGTATTTTAAAAATGATGAGCCAGATATTTGTTCTACATTTGAAACATTGTTAAATATTGGCTTAAAATTTGTCAAACGAATCAAATATGTCTGTGAACTGACTTTTGTGTACCCAATATTTGCAACCTCTGCTGCCCTGTCAACAGTCACAGTAAGAAGCAGCCCAAAGATCTGGGTAATACTTTCATTAATTTAGTAAACAAATAATTATTGAGCTCTTGCTAAGGGCCAAAGGATATGGTAGTACTCACAAGGAAAAACAGGTCTCCAAACACTGAACTACACTGCAGCTGCATATCACACATCCATTCAGAGCTGTATTCTGAGATGCTATTCCATACACTTTTGGAAGTCCAGTTTAATGCAAACATTTGTGTAATGCCTACTATGTTCACACAATGTGCTAAGAGCTTGGAGGACAAAAACAGCAAGATCAACCTTAGTTCAAAGGAATTTACAGTCTAATGAGGGAGATACACACCTAGGCAAATAACTTAAATTTAATAAGGTAAGTGCTAGGCCAGAGGTGTGCATAGGTGACTACACCATAACAGAGGAGGGAGACTAAGGAGGGAAATTTATGGAAGATTCTCTGGAGAAGTTTTAAAACTTGTGTGATATCTTGAAAGATGAATAAGGGCTACCTAGATGGGAAAGGAATTCTAGAGGAAGGAACCTCATATGAAAAGTCACAGAGGTGTGAAATAACATGATACCTGCAGTGGGGTTTTAGGAAATTCATCATTACATAGGTCACTATGAAACTTTTGAGATAGACTGTGTTATGGTCCATTATTTCATTTCCAAGAAATGCAGTCAACAGCATCGTTTCTGATTCGTCTGTGCAAATTTCAATTTCCTCTGCTTACTGGTGTAGCAGCCCATATAGCCTATGGCTAGGAGGAGTGAGAGTTATAAGAAACACCTGTATACGTCAATAATGGAACACCTTGGTGAAAAGAGCATGGAGAAGAATTTAGCACTCCTAACAAGCATGAGAGAGCTCGGGAGATGAGAGCATTGGTGAATTGGCAGTCTCTACACCTGTGGTGTTGAGAGGCATGAGATCAGCCTTATATTAGGCTGGAGGAGAAGGCAGTCGGGAGCATGCGCATTCTGTCACGGACGCGCTTACTCTGACTCTGTCTCCTCTCCTGCCTGCAGAACGCCAGCTCTGTGTCTCTGCTGAAGATCACTAAACCCTGCTAAAGACTAAGATCTATTCTAAGAAGACGGCTTTACTCACTCTAAGATTCTCTCTCTCTCTCTCCCCCTCCCCCCCCCTGCTAAAGTAGATAGCCCTCAGGCACCTAAGTAGACTTGACCAAGGTAGCTTAGTGGTCTGCATCCGGCACCTACCTAAACCGGGCCTGAGACCTGGCCAGTCCCGGGCCCTGACAAGCAGTGGCAGGAGGGGGATGTGACAAATAGCATAGTGGGCAGGATTTGGTGAATGTGGACTAAGAGGGAAATAAGCTTTAGCAAATAAGAGAAAGAGAAAGAAATATCTAGAGGGAAAAGAAATATCTAAGAAAGACAGCCAACATCTGGTTTTTTCTCTTGCCTACATTTTCTCTTTCCAAATTCCAACTACTCTTCTGTGGGAAAAAAAGCCGATAAAAGCCTTTACCCTCTTCTGGGAAGCAGCTGGGGAAAAAAAGCAGAAGAAAGCCTTTCGATAAGAGGGAAAGAGAAAAGATAGAACTAGAAGATAAAAATATAAACAAGCCTTTAGCCTCAGGGGTGAGAAAAACCGTCAGTAAAAGAGCAAAGAGTTTTGGGAACAGGTTGCAAGAGTTTAACAGGGAAGAGAACTTCTAACTGCCTTCCCTTTATTCAGGGTCCTCAAACTTTTTAAACAGGGGGCCAGTTCACTGTCCCTCAGACCTCTGGAGGGCCAGACTGCAGGCCGGGCAGTGGTGGCAAAAACACCCTGCAGGCTGGATAAATGTCCTAGGTGGGCCGCATGTGGCCCAAGGCAGTAGTTTGAGGACACCTGCATATCTTCACCCATTAAGTTCTGTTTAAGAAGAAAAGAATTAAGGTGGATTAAGGGGGCTAGTGAAGAAATAGAGGAAGTGAAGTTTCATAGAAAAGCTGACACCAGAGTAAAAGAAACAGCTAAAGAGCTTCTTTCCCTTTAAGGCACCCAAAGGTTCTAAGAATTGAGAAGGAAAGATTGTAAAAAGTAAAAGGCCGAAAGAAAAAGCCAGTAGAGAAAAATCATGGCAAATGAGATACAGCAGTTGAAATATCAAATGGGACAGTTTAAAGACCAAATTAAGATCATGGCAGCTGACGTAAAACAGTTGAGAGATCAGATGAATCTTATAGTAGAAGCAGGTAAATGCTCTATCGACATGACAACTCAAATTGGGCAGCTGGAAGATCAGAGGGTAAATCCCCCAGTTAACATCAAAATGCCATAAATGTGGGAAGCTAGGCCATAAGAGAAAAGGGTTTAAAAGGGAAAAGAATGCTGAATGCTAAAGAAAAGGAACAAAGAGCATGGAAACCTCCAGGTGTATGTCCCAAGTGTAAAAAGAGCTTTCATTGGGCAAACAAATGCCGTTCTCAATTTGACAAAGATGAAACACCTTTATTGTAGGGAAATTATCAGTTGGGCCAGAATCAGAACACACTGGTAAATGAAAGAAGTGAAAACAGTTTAATATTTTCATTTCAAACTATTCTCGGAAACAACACTATAATTCAATTCTATGCCATGAGAACACTCTGCCAGCTTGGTTAGACCTGTGGTGCCTCAGTGTAAAACTGAGGAAATTAAACCAGACCAATGGATGATGATGGAGAATAATTAGATTAAATATGTTTGTGGAATATTTGGTTATCCTGTGTGGTGAGGGGGTAATCCACCTCTCATCAGCATCTGTATACTATAACTGGGTCCAGCTAAAGAGCGTGGACACGGCCTAAAGGGGCGAGGGACACTCAGAAGCAAGTGAAGCCTTTGGAAGATTATGAGAGGGAGGACAAAGGGAGGGAAGAGTAACTAAGAGTTAAGCCCCTTTTGTGCTAGGGGACTCCATTTGAAAAGAGTCTGGAATCAATTAGCAAAATTTCCTCTGAAAAAGCAGCTTGAAAGCAGGAAAAACTCCGCTACTGAGGAACTGTGAAGTGCGGGACCATTAGTCCACGTGTAACAGTCTTTTGAGATCTGTGAAGGGTGGATTTGTTAAGACCTCAAGTAGCAAAGCCTTTGGAATAGGGAGAAAAAACCTTGCTTGCAAAGAAAGATTGCAAGGAAAGCATTATCTTTTGTTGGTCTGTTAAGTAAATATCAAAGGAAAGTTCACAGTTAAAGAAATGGTAAATTCTCTCAGGGAAGATTTTCTCAGTTTGTTTTTTTCAATTTAAAAAGACCTTTAAGGGAATTAACACTACAATCACCCTTTTTCCCCAGCAGTGGCTAATTGTTCAAATCTGTACTGAGTTTATCATTTAAAGAGCCCATACCTGGAATTCTGAACTTTGACAATTACCATATTCTTTTGCCTAGAAAGAAAAGGGCTACATAACAGGAAGAACTGCCCTTACCACATCAAAAATTTTGTTTGTATATAAAAAAGGGGGGAAATGTAGCAGCCTGTATAGCCTATGGCTAGGAGTGAGTTATAAGAAATATCTGTATAGCTCAATGGAACACCTCGGTGAAAAGGGCATGGAGAGGAATTTAGCTCTCCTAACAAGCATGAGAGAGCTCAGGAGATGAGAGCATTGGTGAGTTGGCAGTCTCTACACCTGTGGTGTTGAGAAGCACAAGATCAGCCTTATATTAGGCTGGAGGAGAAGGCAGTCGGGAAGCATGCGCATTCTATCACAGACCCGCTTACTCTGACTGTCTCATCTCCTGCCTGCACAACGCCAGCATGGCACATCTCTGTTGAAGATCACTAAACTCTGCTAAAGACTAAGATCTATTCTAAGAAGACTGCTTTACTCTAAGACACTCTCTCCAGCTAAAATAGATAGCCCTCAGGCACCTAAGAGACCTGAGCAAGGTAGCTTAGCAGTCCGCATCCAGAATCTACCTGAGACCTGGCCAAGCCCCGGGACTTAACATACTGGTGTTGCTAGGAGGGCTTAATTTGTTTCTGTATATGTGGATTTTGAGTTTTTTAATTTCAAATTGATATGAAGGTACAAATTTTTAGGTTACATGATTTTCACTTCTAAGGTGAAGTTCAAGTTGTAGTTGAACCCTTCACGGTGGGGGGGGGGTGAGGTGCTGAACACCCTCACATGGTGCACAGTAGGTGGATTTTACGTTTCTTGATTGTATTGTAACTCAAAGCTTTCATAATGACCACATACTGCAGGTAAAAGTATAAGGCAAAGCATGTCACAAGATAAAGCTAGAGAATCAAATAAGAACTTGAAAGTTTAGCATGCCGTGCTAATAAGCTTGTACTAGATTCTAAAGACCAAATCCCCCCAAACCTGATTGCATTTATAATTACTTCTGAGATCAATGAAAAAATGTGGTACTAATTTCCTATGGAGAATTTAGAGAATGTGTGCAGACCACAGATCTCTGCCTTACGATGTATCATTCTCTGGAAGGAAGTACTAGTTTAATGGACACTTCATATTTTTCAGATAGCTTTAAAAACATGAATGGCACTTAACCAAGATTTTTAAGACTCATGCCCAGCTACATTTTCTATTTTAGAGATAGGGTCTCTCTCTTGCTCAGGCTGGAGCTCAAGCAATCTGCCAGCCTCGGTTGAGCCTAGAGGTGTGAGAAGGGAGGGTTGATAATAGCGGCACTGAAAACGAACATGAAACAAAAAGTCTGTCTCCTTGTTAAACTCCTAGATCTCTGAAGGAGTGCACATGCCAAAATTTCTAATAAACAACATTTTCATATAATTTGAACTCTAGAAGAAAGCTTTCCATGGAGAAAAATTTTATAAGAAAAGTGATGAAGGGCGGTGCCTGTGGCTCAAAGGAGTAAGGCGCTGGCCCCATATGCCGAAGGTGGTGGGTTCAAACCCAGCCCCGGCCAAAAAAAAAAAAGTGAAAAATGAAGACAGATTAAATGTTCTTTGAAAGGTTTTTAGTTTTTAAAAACGCATCTGCTTGTTTCTGCAACCTCTAGGTCATAAACTAGGCCAAAAGCTGAAAGTCATTCAGGCTACTATCCAAATTTGGGCCTAATTTCTGCTGGGGAAAATTCTATCCTCTATGAATGAAGATAATTTAGTTCAACATTGACAAGTTCTTCCTAATTTATACAGAAATGCAGTATAATTTAAGGTCAGGTGGATGGATTTGGAGAATTACACAAGCTTGGTTTTGAGTCCTTCCTTTGTTATTTTCTAGCTTTGTGACATTATACCAGTTATTTAGGTTACTTAACTGCTGTGTACCTTATATCATCTCTTCAAAACCAGAGATAATAACACCTGCCTGTGTGGATATTATAAAACTGAAATAATAAAATGGAAATAAAGTGCCTAATGCAGTGACTGGCACATTGTAACCAAGTAGTTGTCAATAAACAGTAGTTACTATTTAACTATTTTCATTCTTTTTTATAAGAAGGCATTATGAAACACTGAAAATCTATATTCAGATTAGCAAAGAGCTTTGGCAAGATCTAACATCAGCATTTTAATTGACCCATTAAAAAGCCCCCCCCAAGAAGATACCACCTATTGATCTATTTATATTTTAAGATAGTCTAAAAAGTCTTAGTAACATTAAAACTAATATAGTACCATTATTCAGGCACTGCTGAAAAGCTTCAATTCACCTACACAGGGTATAAAGTGGGGGTAACAATTCTATAACAAATAACAGAAGACCAATATTAAAATAGGTATTGGGGTCACCTGACACATCCACAATAATTTCGATATTTGCATTAGATTTTAGTTTATATGAATGTTTAAAAAAGCAATCTCTTTATAACCTGGTCCTTTCTATTCTGACTGCAGTTTCCTTCAGCCAAGTTCCTTTGCTCCTACTATAAGACATGTGTGTTTTCACCCTCATTTCCTTCCTCTTTGGCATTACTCATTTATCTTGCCCTCTGATTCACTCGTCTGCCTCATTTCCTTTCTCACTTCACTTCCCCTTCTTCCACTTCTTTGCCATCATATAAATATTGAAGATTATGAATAATTGAGTCACTATCTAAGTTACTACATATTTGGAAGAAAAGCAAAATAATCTCTTCTAAATGAGTTACTTCTAAGTATTTTCTCCTTTAAATTGACATTAAAATAATATGCAATGAAGATAGAATTTTAACCACTAATATTAATAATTATATCAGTCTTTAGAAAAAAAGTTATATTGTGAAGGGAAAATAACTGATTACAATCTTACATGTAATTGCAGAACTATAAACTAAATAGCTAATCAGCTAACTTTTTAAGAATTAACACAACCTAATACTTCTCAATTGCAAATTCTAACACATACAACTCAAGGATTACAAATAAAATACCAAGTCAAGTTAAAAAAAGACCCCAAGACTCTCATACTTTTTCTTAAATGATTTACTAGTAACAACTGTGTCAAAACCACCAAAATAAATCGCAAAGTAAAACTGAAATAGGCAAGTATTAAAACTTCCCCATGGAAAGATGAATTTGTCTCAAAAAGCAGAACAAGCTTTGATTGTCTCTCATAGCAAAAGAATAAAAAAAAAAATTAAGGCAAAAGCACTGAGAAGTCATACGAAGAAGGTAATTTTAAACACAATGTAAATATCACTGTAATTTTGTCTCATAATTATCATCTCATCCACTGTTCTTTACACTGTGAGCCACTGATACTAGGATCACTTAGGCAATTTGATAAAAAGTCATATTCCTAGGACCCAACCAAACCAACTGAGACTCTCAGGGCATAAAGCTCATGAATTTACACTGTCAACACCTCATACAGATTAATATTTGCAAATTGCCAATAAAGAAATGGAGGACCCATAAGGTTAAACCACAAAAAAAGTATGAAATTATTTACTAAACACCTAGCTTCTATGGACAATGGAAAGCTTAATACTTTGATCCTTTGGACCCTCAGGGAAACTTCTTTCTGCTATGATACTGCTAATTAGATTTACTAGATCTCAAAGCTCAAGGAAAATTTAGAGAAATCCGATGAAAATCTAAGCTAAGGTTCTGAATAGTTTCTAGATTAAACAAAGACCTTCCTATATAACACATTTCCTGCTTTCAGATCTGCTCTTTCCATATAAAAAAAGCATACACGATATGCTCAGAGAAGAAACCAGGGTAAATACACGTAGTAGGAACCACTACATTTCCTTTGAGGATTCATTCTACCATAGTGAATTCTGATTTTTGAGGCCTCAAGCAAATACCAGCATAATACTTTGGCTAAACTTCAAGGAGAAAAAGCTAACCAGTTAAGAAGGCTGGGGGAGAGGGAAGGAGGTCCAACTAATGAAATTGATGATTGTAATAAATGCTCACAGACACATCTGGAAGTGTTTGTTCTCTCATCGTCTCCTCTTGTATTTGAGATTTCAGCTGTTGCTGGAGCCTTTCATTTTCAAGCACAACTACTTGAACTCTATTTTTCATTCCAGAGAGTTCCTCCTGTAAAAAGAAAAATCCAAATATATTAAGCATTTTTAAGCAGTACTTTGCTGATCATTAAAGGATCCAGCATGATATCAAGTATAAAAGATAAGTTTTCCACCGATTTCCTGAAATATTTATAATCATATTTAGACAAACGAAGCAACCTAAACATTAGCTAACAAAGACAAGGCTGAGAGTACAATAGAGGGCCTACTGATAGCTATATCACAGAAGTATAGTTTCCAACAATTTTTTTTCTCCAAGAAACCAAGGTGCTTAGAAAGGTCTTAAAGTTATTTATTAATAAGAGATTTTAAAGAATGGGATAGACTGCTGAAATAAGGTACAAAATATTATCATTCAGGATTAAATGCCAATAACTTACTGAAAATTGATGGAAGATTAACTAGAAGGAGGCTCTGAGATAGAAAGATATAGAAAGACACAATGATTACCTATGGACTGGTGGCAGGCCAGAGGGGAATGGTGAGAAAACAGTTGGCAGAGAGTTCTGGAAGAGTGCTTCCTTGGCTTTGCAAGGTGACATAAAAAATTACCAATAAATAATGATTAGGATAGTGATGGAGTAGCACGTCACCCTCTGAAACAAAATGTCAAAAATATCAGTTTATCAATTATATAATACCTAACCTAATATTTATTACTAGTATGAACAAAAGCAATTGTGCAACATGTGCAAATTTCTCACTTGTTTTTATTAAAAAAAACTACCAAAGCTGTAATAGAATGTTGTAATTTATAAAATATTACAAACAATCTGGAATGTGATAAACTTGGAAGACATTATTCCTACCTTTACAACAAGAAAAATGTTGAACAAACTGAAAATCAACAACTGTTCTTAGATTCAGCAAAGAATTGAGATCTCAGGGAAAACTGGGGCCTCCAAATTGGAGAAACAGGTGAACAGTGAGGCACAAAACTTATTGGAGCGGAAAAGAAACCTCTCCCAGAATCAGTGCCCAGGTAGGAAAATTTAAACTGTAACTGATGAATTACTGGAAGTTCAGTGTAGTCAAGTTTGAGAGTTAAAATCCACAGAGACCCAGGCTTAGGAAGACTCTCATAATTTTATTTCTACAGCACTAATAGGTTTTCACAGTAATGACTAGAGAAAAATCCCTTTATGCTCAGGATAGGACAAGGAGCCATTCTGAAACATGCCCAGAAAGTTGTGTTCCTTGTGGCCACTCAAGGGAAAACATTTTACTAGAGCCTAATCAACTGGGGTTTTCCTGTAACTTGACTAACAGCAGTACTACTGTACATTTTTAAAGATCATTAATTATTTTTGAAAGAAGTTCAAAGCACAGTAAGTATATTCTTTTTTTACTTTTTTTAAATCAACATAATTAAAGTGTGCTGCAGAACTTTAACTATAGGTTCAAGTGTGCCGTGAGATTAAAAAAAGGTTGGAAAACACAGAGGAAGATAAATGCTCTACTCTAGCCTTCTATGTGGGAGAAGGAAATGCCAGCTCCCTCTATCTTCTAACTTGAACAGGAGGAGGAGACTAAGAAGCACCCGTAAAGGTCACAGCCCAGGCTCCCTAAAAGACTGAGACCTAATAGCAGAACTACTGCATGCTTCCTCTACTCCCACAGTTTACTACCTATCAATAGGGCTCCTATATACCAACAGGGAAAGTCAAAAGAAAGAATTGTGTATCTCAGACTGTACTTTAGAAGAATTCTCTAGGGAATCCCAAAGGCAACAGAAGAGACAAAAAACAGGACATTGAAAGAAATTTTATGACACTTATTATAACAGCAAACACACCCTAACTCCTAGCCAAATAAATATGAAATTACATTTGATCACTGCCTGAAAAGACTGAGCAACTCTCCATTATGTATTGTTTACCCTGATTACAAATAGTTGTAATTAAAAAATACTGTAGACTTGCTACTTTCAGTCTGGAATACAGTAAGTTTGGAAGATATCACTTTCATCTTTACAACAAGAAGAAAGTTGATTACAATGTTTATAAATATTGTAACATATGCATAATGGGAATACAAGAAAAAGAAAAGAAAAAAGAGCAGAAGAAATATTTGCTCAGGTTGGTCTCAAACTCCTGAGGTCAAGTAATCCACCTCCCTTGGCCTCCCACAGTGCTAAGACTATAGGCATGAGCCACTGCTCCTGGCAAATAATTAGCAAACAGAAAACAGAAAACATAAAGCCCATTTAGGTTCACTGGTAAATTCTATCAAATATTTAAGGAATAAATTATCCCAAGTTTCTACACTATCTTCCACAAAATGCCAGAGAAAATACTTCCTAACTTAGGCTGAAGCTAGCATTAACCGAATGGTCAAACCAGGTAAAAACATCACAAGAGTGAAAAACTACAGACTACAATATCTCTCATAAACATAGATGCAAGAAGTCCTCAACAATACATTTGCAAATCAAATCCAACAATGTATAAAGAATTATATACGAGGATCAAGGTATACAACAGTGGTTCAACATCTGGAAATCAACTGAAACAATGCCTCCCATCAACAACGTAAAGGGGCGGGCAGGGAGGCTCAACCCTATAGTCCATGAGGAGACTGAGGCAAGAAGATGGCTTTACCACAGGAGTTTGAAGTTGTGAGCTGTAATGCGTGGCACTCTACCCAAGGCCAACAAAGCGAGACTGTCTCAAAAAACAAAAAATAGGAAAAAATCATAAATTTATCAGTAGATTCAGAAAAATCATTTGGCAAAACTCAGCAATGATTCATGAAAATACAGATGGTCCCTGACTTTGATTTGACTTATAATTGTTTTCAACTTTATGATGATATGAAAGCAATATGCATTCACCACAAACCACCAGTCAGGTTTCAAATTTTGATCCTTTCCCAGTCAGCTATGTGATCATCTGGTAAGAAAGCAATCCTCCATAGTACACGGAATACATTTTCAACTTCCATGAGATTATCAGGACATAACCCCATCATAAACTGAGGATCATCTGTACTGTTGGCAAACTGGGAACACAGAGAAAACATCCTTAACTTGATAAATAACATTTACAGATAACCTTTCATTAATCCCACTAAGAACAGAAACAAGGCAATGATGCCCCCTCTCACATTTATTTAAAATCATTCTGGAAGTCTTACCTAAAGCAATAAAACAAAAGAAAAGCTACAAATGTTGGCAAAGGAGAAATAAAACTATCTTTGTTTATAGATGACATGATGGTCTATGAAGAAAATATTAAAGAATCAATAAAAAAATGCTAGAACTAATAAGTGACATAGAACAAAGTTGCAGAACCCAAGGTTAATATACAAACTCAATCATTTTCCTCTATGTTGACAATGAATAACTGAAATTTGAAATTAAAAACAATACTTTTTACACAAATATTTAGGTATAAATATCACAATATGTAGATCTGTATGTGGAAAACTATAAACTAAGAAATCAAAGCTATATTGGGGTGGCGCTCAAAAGGGTAGGGCGCCAGCCCCATACGCTGGAGGTGGCGGGTTCAAACCCAGCCCTGGCCAAAAATAAAATAAAATAAAATAACAGCTATAAATAAATGTAGGGATGTCAGATATACATGGATAAGAAGACTCAATAGTATCAAAATGTCAGTTCTTCACAAATTGATCTATAGATTTAATCCAATTCCAATCAAAATCCTATTTTTATGGTATCAATACACTGATTCTAAAGTTATATGGAGAGACAAGAGACCCAGGATACCTATCAAAATATTGCAGGAAAAGAATAAAATTGGAGTACTGATACAACCTGACTTCAAGCCTTAATATAAAGCTACAGTAATGAAGATAGTATTATTTTGGCAAAAAAATAGACAAATAAGTAAATCAAAGAGGACAGCCCCAAAATAGACCCACAGAAATATCAGCTAACCTTTGACAAAGGATCCAAGGCAATTCCATGGAGATAGACTTTCCAAGAAATGGTGCTGAAACAACTGAATATCCACATGGAAAAAAAAAAATCTATACCAAATCTTACACCTTACACAAAAATCGACTCAAAATGGAACATAGAGCTAAATGCTAAATACAAAATCTTAGAGTACCAAAGAAGAAAGGAGAAAATATAGGTGACCTTGGTTTGGGTAATGGCTTTTTAGATCCAGTATCAGAAGTACCATGTACAAAAGAGAAAAACCTGATAAGCTAAACTTAATTAAAATTTAAAACTTCTGCTCTGTGGAAAATACTATTAAGAGAATCAAAAGGCAAGTCACAGACTGGGAGGAAATATTTGCAAAAGACCTATTTGATAAAGGATTAGTATCTAAAACGTACAAATAATTCTACAGTTCAATAATAGTGAACAGCCTGATTTAAAAAAATGGTTAAAAGACCTAAATAGACACCTCACCAAAGAAACTATGTATACAGATGGAATATTAGCACATGAAAAGTTGCTCAGCATCACACGTCATCAGGGAATTGAAACTAAAACAAAGATGAGATTCTACTATACATCTACCAAAATGGCAAAAATCTAAAACACAACACAAATGTTGACAAGGACATGGAGTATCAGGAATTTTCATTCATTTCCAGGGGAAATGCAGAATGGTACAGCCATTTTAGAAAATAGGTAGTTTCTTACAAAGTTAAATGTACTTTTACCATATGATTTGACAGTGAAGCTTCTTTGTATTTACCCAAATGGGTAAAAACAAAAACTTATATAGCAGCTTTATTCATAACTTCTAAATCTTGGAAGCAATCAAAATGTCCTTCAATAGGTGTTTATCAAGCTTTGTTTTGAATAAACCAAGTATGGTATATATACAATGTAATATTCAGTAATAAAAAATGAGCCATCAAATTATAAAAAGACCTGGAGAAGCATTAAATTCATAACTAAGTAAAAGAAGCTAGTATGAAAAGGCTACACACTGTATGATTCCAACCATACGACATTCTAGAAAAGATAAAACTACAGTGACAATAAAAATATCAGAGGTTGCCAGGCGCTTGGGGGAAAAGCAATGAATAGGTAGAGCACAAGGGATGTTGAGGGCAGTGAAACTACTCTGTTGATACTGTAATGGTGAATACATGTCACTGTATGTTCCTCAAAATTCACAGAATGTTCAACACAAACCATCTAATGTAAACTGGGGGATTTAGATTATTATAATCTAATACATGTAAGGTAAATTGGGGGATTTAGATTATAATATTGGTTCATCAATTGTAGCAAGTGTTATTAACAACATGTTAGTAACAAGGGAAACTATGGGGTGGGAGATGCAATTAAGAGAAATATATGGGAACTTTATGTATTTTCCATTCAATCTTTCTATAAACCTAAAATGGATATAAAAATAAAGTCTATTATTAAAATCTTTCTAAGCTGCTTAATTTCATTCCATTCCTCCCTTGTTAAAATGTACAGATTTATATTGTTTGACATTCAAGCTTCTATAATCTTCCATTTTATCAGTTCAGCATTATTTTCATTATTTCTACAAGACATTCACCAGTGCAGTAAAATAAAATAAAAGCCTTATGCCCCCTCCTCTAAACAAACCATATTACCTTGAATATTTCATTGTTGCTGTTCTCTTTACAAAACTCATCCCCCTCCTACTGATCTAAATAATCCTATTTAAGCCTGGTTTTAGCTCTTCCTTTCCCAAAAAACTTCCCACAAGGACTCTTTCATAAACTTCTCCTCTTATCATAATTTCAGTTTATACCAGGAGGTAAAGGCCACCACTGTATTCTCCATTATGCTACTCAAAGGTAATAGTTCTGTCTTCTCAACTAGATTGTAAAGGTATTATGCTTTATATCTTTTAAGTTTTACCCACAACATCTTAGGGATTAGTAGATTACTGTTAATTGAATGGTTCCTAAGGTATTATTTCAACTTTCTGGTAATCAAAAACCTGTATATTAATAACTGTAGCTTGTAAGAAAAACAGAAAACTATAAATTAAACTCAGGAACTGAAAACTACAAGTTAAGATCAGGAACTCTCTTATAAAGATAAAACTTCTAAAGAGTCCTTAAGTTACATACAAGCCTTGTAATTAAACGAGCATTCACAATATTAAAAATACAATATATGATGAAAACGTTATCAGTAATTCCTATAAAAGTATCACATGATCTTATATACTCATATCGGGAAGGAAGGAGAAACACTGACATACTTTGGGAAGAAAGAAAGGCTCAAATGGTATTAATGACATTAGTAAGCT